TACGTCGGAGTCGGAGGCGGTGGCGGGGGCAGGCGCAGGGGCAGGGGCATCAGTTTCAATGTTATACCATAGTAATTAATGCTGCAAAGCTGGGTATTTTGAGCCTGGCGCATGCAGAGGCTAACAACAGCTAGCTCTAACGCCATCGAATAGGACGTATATTTACCTTCTTTCTCCTACGGAATCGTCGTTGAAGTTGATGATGATGATTGTAAAGAACTTCTGAATGTAGCATGTAACGACTGTAAAGTTTGTAGTAAAGTTGTCCCATTTCCTCCATATCGTTTCGACAGAGCAAAACCAAAACGAGTAGCGCTTCAATACAATCAGTCATTGTTGTTGTTGTTGTCGATGTGAGGGGTTTCCGCGCGGTTTGGCTTTATGAAGCAGGCACGCAAACGGTTACGTCATGACATAAATGATGACGCAATGACGCAGCACCAGTCGGGCTCTGAGCGGTGTGAACAGAGCGGGAGCTGAACCGAAGAACCGGTTCCGAACCAGAAAAGCTCTAGCACGGAGCTAGAACGGGAAAAGCCTTGGTGTGAAAGGGGCATAATATGGAAGGTGTTGCTTGTAGTGAACCACTTCAGTCGGTGGAGACTAAAACTGAATTAAAATGAAAGTGAATATTTGACTTTTATGTGTCAGGTGGCTAGAAACACCAAATTAACAATAACATTTTCTCCATGTTTGCTGAAATATTAAAGTATTTGCTAACATGTTGTAAGCTAAATAGGAATCTACTGCCATTTAACTGTCAGTGCCCGATTTGGTTGATGTGAGAACAAAAGCCGCCCGAAACTCATACCATTATGCAAACCACTGTTGATTAATATGTAATTAGAAAAATTAGAGATAAATACATGACACGCCAATCTGAGAGATCCTATCAAGCCTGCAGTCGGCTGTGGGAACTGTAATTACATTGGTAGTATATCTCAGCCCTGACCTCTTTTCTTAAGTATTAATAAACCCTTCTTCCATTAAAGATATTCAATGTCTCTTTCTCTCATACACTCTCAGCTCAAGCCCTTTTACTGCTGCTCTCAGTTCTTTTATTCTCGTAGCTTAGCCAATACAATGGCATCATTCATTAAGCCTTTTTGTGTAGCACAGAAGAACATGCACTCACTTACACTAAGAGGAAGATTTAAGATGAAGAAGTTATTGAAGTGAAGCAGGAACTTCTTCAAACTGATATATATTTTGAAGAGGCTCTACAATGTTTTGGGGGTTTCCCTCTCCTGTAGTGTGCTAATTTAGGAATTTGTGCATGTAAATAGTCAGAAAACACTAAAATCTCACCCGATGCTGTTGTTTTGCGATGTCTCTCCAGGTGTTGTACCTGCACAGTTTAGGTCAGTATCTGACTGTGAGTAAAGGAGGAACTGTGTGTCTGCGGGACAGAGAGGACATGTCCCTCCTGCACACACATCGACTGCAAAACAGCACGGTCTCACCCAAAGACCTCTGGGTAACGGACATGGTGCTGCTGCACAACGTACACAAGGTGACTTTCACTCGTGATCACTTGGTACAAACACTTCCTGTTTTCCTGGTTATGTTGTGACATAGTTTAAACAACGGTTTTGGTAAGAATTGAATAACATAAATTATTGATAAGTAGTGTGTAGTAGTTACTGGGGCAGATATTGTACGGTACAGACGCAAACAAGCATTCCTCTCAATCAATGAATTATTGATCAGTGGTTTTGGTTAATGACATTGCAGACATGAAGCCACTGCATAATGCTTAGAGAAATACACAGTCACTAATAAGACCATCAATTATTGAACATATTTCACTAGCAATTCTTTACCCCGCAGATTTGCTGGTGACAGAAATAATTTTGTTGCATAACCCACATGAGGGCTTTCAAGTTTCGCATGAATAATTAGTCAGAGGAATTGCTATTTTATATATCTATTGATACATTTTTTTGCTGTTTTTCCTAATTTATCTTTGTTTCCAATACATTTTTTAGATAGCTGTGTCTTTCACAAGTAAGGAGGTTTGTTTCTACGACATTCTGTCACACCAGGACTTCAGGTGCAAGTATAAACTCCAGGTGACTATACCCTGATGTTTCTGTTGGTTTGCGCAGTTTCTACCGTTGTATCACACTTTGGATATTGATTATCCAAAGTGTATATACCTGAGAAAAGTGTGTATTGACATGAAATAAAATAATTGCACACACATTTCTTCTCTTCTCGAGGGTTTGAGGTTTACTCCCTGGTGTTTGGATTACTGGGTGGATCCCTCTGACCCAGACCAGGCCGTCCTCACCATAGGAGACATCGGAGGACAGGTAATACACGGAATAATAAACGGTGGACCAACCACAACAGAGCAGATAGTCCGTTATTCCATAAGTGTGTGTGTGTGTGTGTGTGTGTGTGTGTGTGTGTGTGTGTGTGTGTGTGTGTGTGTGTGTGTGTGTGTGTGTGTGTGTTCCCAGGTCAGTGCTTTATATTTCACCTCAGCTCAGATCTCTTTGTTTGAGAGACTTAATGTGAGGACGGACTCAGATTCAGCAGACATCATCCAATGGGACGAGCTGGTGAGAGGAAAGCATCGCTCCTGTTACACTGTGACACACCGAGCACACACACCTTCCTGGGTCAGGAAAGGTAAGAACACACACTAACACACACACACACATATATAAAGAAATCTTTTTAATGAGTCAGATCGACTTTTTCAAATGCACATAAGAATGTCGTGAAGTTTAAAATACTAACATTTACTTGTATTTCTCATCTCGTTCCAAAATGGTGGGCAAGCTCCGCATGGATTTAAGGACAGCAAAATGTCTACAAATCTTCGTCTCAAACTGAAAACCCACCTGTTTCTCTCGTACCTTGGCCCTTAATAAAAAATAAAAATAAATATCACTTAGCCCATTTGCCAAAAATATCCTAAAGTCTGGGTTTCAAAATGAGTTTCATGCTGGCTAAAGGAACACTAAACCCTACTCTTTTATTTTCAATTAGTTAGCATGGCACTCTTTTGGGGCCTCGGGTCAAAATACGTTTTAATTCGTGGGACAGAATGAAAGCAAGGATACAAAATCATTGGGTCAGACGAAGGAGAACCGACTCTGGGCATCACAAACTCTCACCTTCACACCTGGGAGGAGAGCCACTGTCTTTGATCGCTTGCATTTTTTTTTCAGTATCTCTCACAAGAGGCTTATGCAACGGCATGAAAACGCTTGGGAGGGACACACAGACACACATGCAGAGTCCTGAGCCATCCACTTTATAGTCTTGCATATAGTCAGGCTTTCGACTATTGGCATAAAGTCACAGGCTGGAGGTCACGCCTCCTGAGAATCGAACGCCGTCGCTTTAGTTGTATCTGGATTGCATCATTCGCACGGAGCCCCTCTGAACAGTCATTGGGCTGTTTGATAATGACTCAGCGCTCTGAGACTAGCTTGGCTGAGAGCGGGATCCTGATAAAAGGAGGTGAAACAACATTTAAATAAGCACGACAAATGGGGAAACAAAGGGAAAACAATAAGAGGGGGAAACAGAGGAGATAGTGCCAGAACATTAAAACGCACTGCTTAATTGAAATTTGCAGGCTGTGTGTTTGAAACAACAAGCGAGTGTGTTAAGGTCTGCTGTGTGTGTTTGGGTAGGGGAATGAGGGAGTTTGTGTGACTGTATGTGTGTTTGAATACCTCTGGGTGCTGTTCTTTTGAAGTTGTCCGCCCTGCAGTAGGGTGTGTACTATTAGACATGGCTGGTTATTTAGACCTCCAAACCTTCAGGCTCACAGGCCACCAGAGAGAAAGTGGGGGGAAGGAAACAGAGAGGAAATTAGGAGGAAATTGGGACGGACACAGATCCGTAAAGTTAAGGAAGTAGAGCTCTGAATGTGTGTCTGTGAAAGAGAAAGACACTAACATACCCTTATGTTGTAACCAAAGAAATGATCTCCAAGGACAGGATTTTAAAGCGTAGTCTCAGGAGGCGGTTTGGTGGGCTATGGATTGCATGCTTTTTGCAGATGATGTCCTTCTTATATAGCGTCATCGGTTTGCAACCTTCAGCACTCATTGGATCGGTTCACAGCCAAGTCTGAAGCGGACGGGATGAGGATCAGCACCTCCTAATCTCTGAGACTATGGTTATCAGCAGGAAAACGAAGGACTGTCCACTCCGAGTAGGGAATGAGTCCTTACCCCAAGTGAAGGAGTTCAACTATCTCTGCATCTTGTTCTCGAGTGAGGGGACAATGGAGCGTGACATGGGCTTGGAGAATCGGAGCAGCTGGAGTCTTACGATGAAGAAAGGCGGAAGGCAAAGCAGAAGCAAAGCTCTCAATCTACTGACCCATTGTGGTACCTACTCTCACCTAGGGTCATGAACGATGGATCATGACCGAAAGATTGCGGAAACAAGCGGCCACAATTGGTTTCCTCCAGAGGGAGGCTGGCATCTGGATGTTTGGATGGATGGATTGATGGATGGATGGATGGCTGGATGGATGGTTTGATGGATTGATGGATGGATGGATGGTTGGATGGATGGTTGGATGGTTTGATGGATGGATGGATGGTTGGATGGTTTGATGGATTGATGGATGGATGGATGGATGGATGGCTGGATGGATGGTTTGATGGATGGATGGCTGGATGGATGGTTTGATGGATTGATGGATGGATGGATGGATGGATGGTTTGATGGATGGATGGCTGGATGGTTTGATGGATGGATGGATGGTTGGATGGATGGATGGATGGTTTGATGGATGGATGGTTGGATGGATGGATGGTTTGATGGATTGATGGATGGATGGATGTTTGGATGGTTTGATGGATGGTTTGCTGGATGGATGGTTTGATGGATGGATGGCTGGATGGTTGGTTTGATGGATTGATGGATGGATG